TCTCTCTCTCTCTCTCTCTCTCTCTCTCTCTCTCTCTCTCTCTCTCTCTCTCTCTGAGCGTGCATGTGCGCGTGCATGTGGAGAGGAATACCCAGCTGGTCCCTCCAGCCCTATAATACAAGCACAACATGCTTCACCTTCAATGAAAGCTGAGACGCGACGCTTGGATCAAGTCGGAGCTGAAAGTTTCTGCAGAGGCTTCATCACTCCGGGGGGGACTCTTTTATCTTTGTTTTTACTCACCGACTGTTTTATTTTGATTTTTTATCATCAGCTGTTTGATTTGAAGAAGTTCTGTAAAGAAAACTTGGATCAGTTTTTGTGGCTCGTGTGAAACGTGATGGACGGTTCGGGGCTCCTCGCTGATGCTGTGTGCTTTTGGCACTGAGGGACCCCTCTGGAGGCGCGAAAAGTTGTCATCTTCATCAACACTTGCCCCCCCACTTTGTGCCAGCCATGGCTCCGCGCGCTCGCCTCGCGCTCGTGCTGCTCTGCGGGTGGACTTCTCTGAGCCTCGGGCTCTGCGCGCTGCTGAAAGCGGACAGTTTCCCCGGGAGGCTCCGGGTGGATTTTACGCGTCCCGTAGATCAAAAACACGCGACCAGGGAGGAGCGGGACGCGCTTTTACAGGATACAATGACGGAGCACATGCAGGTGCTTTACGCCAAGTACAACCGCGCTGGGTTTCCGTTCCGGGATGGAAACACGGTGCGCAGCTTCAAGGCGCACTGGGGTACGTCTCCAAACTTTACGCATTTTAACCTGATTTGATCCAACAGGTTCAGACATGGCACAGGTGTGTTATACCTGTTTCAGGTTGTTTCTGTACCTCATTTAACAGCTTCAAATATCTGCACTTTACGCGCAGTGTGCGTCATTTGGGCACGTTCTGTAACTGTGGGAAAATGTTTTTAATCTTTTTGGTTTGTGAGGTAAAGAAAAGTGGACCCAGTTCTTCAGATCCTGTTTCAGCTGGAAGCTAAATCCACCTGCTGATCCAGATGTGATCAACCTGTTCCCGCCACAGGAAGAGAAACTCGAGTCAAACTGTTGCAGCTTCAGTTCAGCTGATTTCAGATCTGGAACAGGTTCCTGTCCGGGTCAGGATCTGGAACAGGTCCCTGTCCGGGTCAGGATCTGGAACAGGTCCCTGTCCGGGTCAGGATCTGGAACAGGTTCCTGTCCGGGTCAGGATCTGGAACAGGTCCCTGTCCGGGTCAGGATCTGGAACAGGTCCCTGTCCGGGTCAGGAT